TCACAAGTGGATGGGGATCTCAAAGCTTTCCTGGCAGATCGTAAACCAGTCATGACCATCCGGCCCTTGTCCGCCAGAGTTTTGCAAAGAAAGATTCCTGGGAAGACAGGCAACCAGTCATGACCTTACAACATCACCATCCGAGAACCTCGGAGAACAGGGGGGGGGGGGGGGGGGTTCTTCCTTGATAGCTCTGCCATTGGAAGGAAGGGAAGAAGTGGCGGTCCTGGAGCCATCCCTCCCCCTGGCACCCATGGCGGTCATCAGACCTGTCCAGTGGCACAGCAGACACAGCCCTGACAGTCTCAGCTGCTCCCCTGAAGTCTGGAAAACTGACTCAGCCTTCCAGAACAAATGCAGAGTGAGGGTGTGTCCACCCTCGGCAACACATGGCCAGCAGGGGCAGGAAGCCGGAGGGTAAATGCTCTCTCCCTCTTTTGCACCTCCAGTGGAGGACTCAAGAGCATTCCACAGCTTCCCGGAGCAGAATACCAGCAGGACTCAGCGCCTGCCAGGTGTAGGCTGTGAAGCCAGGGCTTTCCCTCCTTCCTCACGACCCAAGGGGACACCTTTCCAAAGCAAACACCAGCCTTGATGCCCTGTCTCTGCTTCCTCATTTCCAGCTGACTCAAGGTAAAATGAGTGTGACCACCAGCACTGTCAACTTGACAGGACGCAGACTCTCCCGGGAGACAAACCCACCAGCATGTCTGTGAGGAAGTTTCTGTTTCCTGAGTGTGGAGACAACAGAACCAGCTGCCTCACCTCGCCACCGTGATGGACTCCCCCTCAGACTGCAGCCAAAGTAAACCTTCCTTTCTTAAGTCGCTTTGGTCAAGGATTTTGTCACAGTAACAACAAAAGCAACTTAGTCAGCTCTGGACAAGCACCTCACTCTGCCCTGGACAAGCACCTCACTCTGCAAGTGGTGACAGTGGGCGCCCCTCACCAGATGCTTCATCCAAAACTTCAGACCCAGTAAATGCTTCAAGGTAAGAATTAAAGGAGTAAAGAAAACCCACCATGGTAAACAGACCATCCCCAAGTGCAGTAGTCGGAGCTGGATAGCACCGGGTCTGTGTAGCATAAGCATTGGGGCGTCGGGGGACAGAGGCAGAGGCAGTGGGCTATGGTGAGAGAGCCTTGACAAATGATGCAAGAGGAACATGGACTTAGACAAGGAAATGATTCTTACACTCGGAAAAGCCTCAGACAACTCACCAGAGCTGACAACGGACAACCAGGAGCTGGGGAACCAAGCACCCAGGATGAAGGAGGAACTCAGCCCTCCAGGAGAGGTTTCCACGGTGGGGTACAAAGGCAGTAGTTAGGTATGTGGCTCAGTACAATTCCACTTCGCCTCACAAAAATTTCTACAGAGCATCTAATGTCCAAGCTCCGCTGGGAAGGACCTTACAGACTTCACGGCATGAACCCTGTCAAGGAGCGGCGAATCTAACACAACACACTGAGGCAGGGAAAGCAGAGTGTCTTTCCGTTGAACACCTGCTCCGTGCTAAGCTCTAGAGGAGGGAAGGAAGGAAGGACGCCACTGAAAGGAGTTTTATGCTACTCAATTCATAGAAGGTCTTAACACTGCCTGAGGCGCGGCTCGTACATAACACACTCATGTAGACTTACCATCTGCTTCCAACCTCACTTCCAACTAGTCTGCATCACTATATTCAAAAGACTGAAAGGACACTTGCAAAGGAGGGTTATTATTTGCTTTGCTTGTGACTTCAGAGGGGTCAGCCCACAGTCACTTAGCACCATGGACTTGGGCAGAAGTTTACAGTGGTGGGAACCTGTGGTGAAATTTCCACCCTCATGGCAGACAGAAAACAGAGGAACAGGAAGGGGCCAACAAGACACACCCCCAGCCCCACCCCCTTGATTTGTTTCTTCTTGTGGATTCCTCTAAAGTTCCAGAACCCCCCAACACAGCAACTCCAGCTGGAGACTAAGCACCTAACACACTAACCTGGAAGGGGTAGTTCACATTCAAACACAGCACATTTGAAATCATGTTATTTAAAAGGAGCTTTCCAAGAGCCAGCGAGATAGCTCAGTGGGTAAGAGCGCTTGCAGGATGACCTGAGTTTGATCCCTGGAAACCACGTAGTGGGAGGAGAGAGCCAACACCTGCAAGTTGTCCTTGGATGTCTGCAGGAGAGCCACATGTGTGTATGCAACACACACACACACACACACACACACACACACACACACACAAAATGTTTTTCATAAAAAGGAACTGACATTTTTTCAACAGATCTCATGTTGACAGTAGATTAAATATCCAGGAGGTGGCAGTCTTGAGCACATCCCTCCCTGAGAAGACAGAATATCTTTTTTTCCAAACAACCTCAGAAGCCACATAGTAGAAGACTGACTGCATGCGCGTGCATGGCACACACACACACACACACACACACAAATAAATGTTTAAAAAAATATATTAAATAGTTTTAAAGCTGGGTCTGATGGCATAGATCTATAAGCCCAGCTCCTTGGAAGTCTAAGGCAGGAGAATCACAAGTTCAAGGCCTGCCTGGACTACAGGGTAAGTTGCCTGGGCAACTCACGCAGACCCTATCTCAAAATATAAAAAGCAAAGTGGGCTATGGCTCAGTGGTACAGTACTTACCTAGCACATATAAGGCCCTAGGTACTTTTTCAAGACTCAAGGCCCAGACTTCTACTTTCTTCTCGGTTCTGAAGTTGGTCTTTCCTGCTGCAATGGTTTGAATGTGAAAACACGCCCCCCCCACCCCCCAGGCCCCTGTGTTTAAACACTCACTCCCAACAGGCAGCGCTGCTTAGGGAGGTGGCAGAATTTTGGTGTAGCCTGCCTTGCAGAAATGGCTCAGTGTAGGTTCTGTCAGCTTCTGCTGTTGGCCTGACCTCCCTCCACTTCTCTGAGCCACACACTCCTACCTCCAGCACGCTGCTCTACCATGTCCTCCCGTGTTGGGCTGCGCAGTGAGCCGGCACAGAGCCTCTCACCAGCTGCTTCTGTCGGGTACCTCAGCACAGTGAGCAGAGCACCTAGTACATTTGCCAAACCAATCTTTTTTTGCCCAGATGCATTACAGGCAGAAAAGAAGGACACGTTCTTTCCCTATGTGTCCATGGAATTCTCCTTGCTTGGAATGTCTGGCCCCACCCCACCCCCAAACTTAACCATTTTGACCTTTCTCTCTCACAGTCCCACAGCACCTGTGAATGAAAGTTTCTGCTGTTTGGCATTAGTGAACTTTGTTGTGTTTATCACACATATGAGCTGGCACTAAGTCCATTGCTCAAGAAATACTGGGTTCTCAATGAAATGTTAATTCTCATTAGCAAGCACCAGGTTTTAAATGTTATAAACCCTTGTCATCCTCCCTGAAATACACATAATGAAGCAGGCTGATTCATCACCTGTAACAGTACCAGTCTCCCCCAGGAACCACTGCCACAGGAATGAAATCATCCCTTACCCTGGACTAGAAGCTTCTAGACCAGTGTGGGGGGTACAGAGAGTTCCCAGGTGCTGTCTGTGGAAATGAATTAAAACAGTCAGCTTTTCCTCACACCTGCCTCACACTACATAAAATGGTGAATGTCTCCAGCAACAAAGTTTGGGAGAACTTGAAGAGCGAGTGACCCAGTGAAACATGAAGACACATTGTAACGGTTTTACATGCAGCTGTCCTAGAGTCAGGCCCCAGTCCTGGAGCCCCTTCCTGCCAACAGCTCTCAAGTCAACAGGGGTGAGGTTCTGCCCTTAGGGGCTCTTAGGGTGACCTGCCCCACATGGTCCACAGAATCTGAAAATGGCATTTCCAAGGATGTTATGGGTAACAGGATGTGCTCACTGAGAATAATGTGATCACAATAGGCCACGAATTCAACATAATCTTTCACTCCAAACTCCCTGAATCTTTTTTAGATGAAAATAATTGATGAGTTAGGTTTGATCCCCCAAATCTTAGCATAAACGAATCGAGCCGTCACACCGAAGATAACAAAGTCACAACTCCAACACACACCAAACACAAAATGCTTCACAACCTCCCAAAATCGACCCACAAGGTGATGAAGGAAACTTTGGAAATTTTGCCGCTCATTTGGGGACCCGCCCCCAAAAACACTCTATATTCTAAGAATAAAATGTGTTGGACGACTGCTGTGAGATCTGCCTCTCCCTCCAACCCATGCACCTTGCCATACCCCCAGATTTGCAGGGTGACATGTGAGCTCCAGTGTTGGAAGGGTAAAAATAGCCTGGTCCTCAAAAAGGCAGATAACGGCCAGACAGCTGAGTCACTTTGAAGCCCATTTTGACTCCTGAAACGGACATTCACCTGCTTCTGTTGAAAGCCTCCCCCGCTGGCCCGGGTGGAAGCCGAGGTGCTCTACACGTCCCTGCTTCTGGAGGTCAGGACTCAGGAGCGAACTTTTAATAATTCACACTAGCGCACGTCAGCCCAGTGACTCGCTTAGAAAGGACAGGATTGAGAAAGGCTTGGAGAGTCACCCTAAACCACGAGAACCCCTATTTCTGCTGCCCTAGTCGGGCCACCCAGAGCCAACACTCCTGGCAAGTGCAAGCTGGAGGGATCTGGATCGGAAGTGGAGAGAGCACCGAGGCTCGGATTTGTCCGGCTGGGGAAACCCAAGCTGGGAAAGGGTGCTCTGAGCACCCGGGGCTGGGGCGCCGACCCCTGCAACTCCCAGCCCGCTGTCACCCCCAAGGGCGGCTCAGAACCCGGACTCACTCTTTCCTGCCATCCACCCTACCCCCGGCTGTGGGCGGGATGCTGGGGACCCGGGGCCTGGCAGCCTAGCAGTGGTTGGAGGACTCGCCGCAGCCCCGGGAGCCAAACTGGGAAAGAGCAGCAGCAGCAGGAGGAGGACCAGGAGGAGGACCGATGGGAGGGAGGTCCAGGCCCTGCGTCCAGTCCCCGTCCCCAGGCCGCGGCGACGCCACCTTGCCGGGGCGCCTCCCTTACCGGGGAGTCGTAGGAGAAGGCGCACTCGTTCTTGTACACACGGTCCCCCGACCTGGGCACGCGGATCGTGGGCATGTGGGGCACCAGCAGCTCGCCCAGGTCCCCTGCAGCCATCTTCCTGCCGCCGCCCGGCACGCTGAACAGGGCGCCCCGGCGCTGCATGGCCGCGGAACGGCGGAGCGCAGCGGGCCGCCGGCTCCTGGGCTGGGGCTCGGGCTCCGCTCCGGGCGGGCAGCGGGCGGGCGCTGCTATTTTTAATCCAATGGCGAGTGGCCGGCCCAGCTGCAGCGTCAGGCGGGGCGCGGGCGCCAGCCGCAGCGCGGGGAGGGGGCGCGAGGGCGGGGACCGGGAGGCCCCGGGGACCCACCGGGGATGCGCCCCACCTCGGCGAGCCGCTCCACCCAGGGGATGCGCCCCACCGGGGATGAGCCCCACCGGGGATGCGCCCCCAGGCTGCCCTGGGCCCCGCTCAGGAGAAGCCGGCACAAAGAGCGCATCTTAGCATGTTAAGGGCGGCCTCCCGGCAGGGAAGGGGCGGGACGCGCCTGTGAATCTGGAGCCACCGTGCACTTCGAGAGTGTCCCCTGGTTCCTCATTTAATATGCAAAGCTTTGTAATAGACACTGGACTCCCACCCGCCCAGGGAGGGTAGGGGATGTTTTCTTGCGATAATGCACGGTTTTCTTACATAGTGCAAGGGGCGGGGCCATCGGGATCCCCCCCCCCCCCCCCCCACTCATAAGGGGTGTTTTTTTTTTTTTTTCTTGTGGCAGATCCGCTGTATAGCTGGAGGTCCCCTGTCGAACCTTCAGTGGCCCGATTTGAGGATCCATGGGCAGGCGAACATAGTCCTAGCCCTGGTTGTCTGGTTCTTCAAAACAAAACAACAAACGGGTTTGAGTGGGAGCTTAACAATGCATAAATAGAGCATGTCTCGAGGCATGTGTCCTCATTCGTATCATGTTCTCAAAATAATTAATAATAAAGAAATAAGTAAATATAAATAAATAAATAAATAAATAAATAAATAAATAAATGATAAATAAATGGTCCATGCAGTTAGGAGACTGGAGGCGGGAGCATCACGAGCTCAAGATCAGCTACACAAGATGAACACCCAGCCCCTCTTACAACACAGGTTTGAATCCACCGAGGCTCCCTAACTATGCACATTGTCCTATTGGACCAGAGCAGTTCGAGTAATGCAGAAACAGCGAAGTCAAGACAGTTGTGTGAGCCTCTCCCAGACCAGATCACAGCTATTACTGTATTTCCCTGCTGCTTCCTGGGTTCCCCTCTAGAGGTAACAGGCTGCAAACTCCCGGCTCCATGCATTACTTGACTGGAATGGAGGCAGGGCTGTGGAGCCCAGCAAAGAATTGACCTGTCTGCTGTTCCCAGAGCTGGGTCTGTGCCTGCTCAGATTCAAGGATGACACACGCTCGGATTACAGAGATAGTGATTCAGAATGTTCAAAGCTTAAAATCCAATCTTGGGTTACATGCAAATTAAATCAGCAAGACACTGTTTCTCATCTTTTCAGTTGATAAAGATTTATTGAATTGGTCTGGGATTGAGAAACAGGCCCTCATACACATTGTTGGTGGGAACCTCCAGAGGCTCCTGTGTACCCTTGCCTACATCCCTGTTTTGCCCCCATCTCTCTCTGAAAGAATGTACAAGATACACAATTGAGAAGAACAGAAAGCCTGAGGCCACAGGGGACACGCTGCCCACGACCCTCGACCCTCCGTGGGACTCTAATCCTTTTGTTTTCCTTTGCTTGTTTTCAGTGTTGGGATTGAACCCAGGAACTTGCTGTAACTAGTCAAGTACGCTACCACTCAGCTATAGCCTCAGTTGCTTTAAAAATGTTATATTGAGACAGGGTCTAGCTAAGTTATCCAGGCTAGCTTCAAACCTGCCATCCTCCTGTCTCAGGCAGTACCTGATATCACAGACTGTGTGCCCCATGCTCGGCTTCAAAGTTTCATCAGGTGCAAATATTAGTTTAAAAATTAACTAGACTGGAACCAGCACGGTGGCTCATCATCACTTGCTGAGCAAGTCTGACAACCTGAGTTCAAGCCCCAGAGCACACATCAGAACAGAAAGAGGGAACTGAAGCTACAAAGGTGTTTTCTGACCTCCACGTGCCCGAAATGGCTGTACCCCACCCCTACACAAATAAAAAATGAACTAGAATTCCATTTTATAAACATTTCAAGTTCAATAACCAAGAACAGAAGCCAAGGACTTTGCCATGTCACCATAATACGTAGCATTGGTTTTTGTACAATGGCACAGCTTAAAGTGATAAACCAGTGGGGATGGGACGGGGGGGCGGGGGGCAGCCTGCAATCCCAGCACTTGGGGTAGAAGCAGAAAATATCAAAAGTTCAAGGCCAGACCGGGCTACACAGAGAGTACACAGAGGCCAGCCTGAGCTACAGAGTGAGACCCTGTCTCAAAACACAAACAACAAGAAAAATTAAGGAAAATTATTTGTATAACAACATCAAATCATCCACCAAGGGAACTTTGACCACAGAGGCTACTGACCTGGGGCCTGCCATCACCCCTATGGCCTCCCAGGGGGTAAAGAGTACATACCAAGTATGCATGCATATAAACACATGCAAATACGTTTAGATATATAACTGTCATATACAAATATACATAAAAGCCATCTGCATAGCAGAATACCAGTGGCATCCCAGAAAGACAGCTCTAATCACAACAGGAGAAACGCAAAACATCTAAACACAGAGGAATAATGGACCCATGTACATCTACTCAAAGATGCCCATGCCAATATGAAAATGTCATGAACTTTTCTTAACATTTCTGTAGTGTCCGTCTTACTTGACATGCAACATTTATGTAATATTAATACAAGTGGGTAAAATAAGCATGCATCTTTGACATGACTAGAAAGACATAAAAATATAAGCATTTCTGTTTGTGAGCTGGTCATAGGATTTTGTTTCTGTTTTTAATATGTCTCCAACAAGGAGACAGATATGCACATAAGTATATACACATATATATCATAATATAAAAAGTTATCAAGGCTGAGTTTGATCCCCAGCACCACACATAGAAAAGAAAAAGCCAACAGAAACTACAGCCCCTGCTGCTTGGCATCAGAAACCCCATGATGACATTTCTTGAACTGTGCTTCAATTAGCCTCCTTCCATGCCTTGGTAACTCTATGTAGGAAATAAACCTTCTGAAAAGAGGTCTATTTCCCAGTAGCCTTGTATGCTGTGGAAGCTCAGCATCTGTGGGCTCCTGACTGCCTGGAACAGCTTTATCCCCGTCACTCAGTAGGAACCTGCCAGTGACACTGTAATAATCTGTACTCAGCTTTATGCCTTTTGATAAAATTCATTGCTGTGCAAATGTTATCCAAGAAACAGCAGCCGTTACATCAAATGTGACGTGAATATTAGTTATAATAACTAATGCCAAGAGGGAGATTTGAGGACTCTACAGAGAAAAGACTCCATAATTATTTCAATTAACAGAATAGCTCTTGACCTCAGAGGCCGTTCTCTAACGTCAGAGGTCCCACAGAGACACCTACAGTGAGACTTGAGGAAGATAAACCAGAAGATTCTCTGTGGTATGGGCAACCTCTGCAAGCGGCACTGTTTGCTAACTGCACAACAATAGGGTGCTGATTTTAAAAATTGTGTTTTCTCCTTGAGGCGATTATATTTAGCCATGAAAACCACAGAAGAATATTCAGGGGCTGGGGAGGTGATTCCATGGGAAAGAGCACTTGCTACATAAATATGGGACCTGAGTTCAAATCTCCAACACCCATGATAAAAAAAAAGTGGGATATGATTGTCCAAGATGGAAAGACCCTATTTCTAAAGACACTGCACATTGCTTGTAGGATACAGAGAAACCAAGTGACCACAAAGCTTCCTCCCTGCAGGTGAGCTTAGTTCTGGAAGGTGCTATGCAGGCTGCTGGAGGAGAAAAGTCATTAATGGCCTTACCCAGCAGTAAATCCTCAATGCTACAATGTCAACATCCCAGGCAAGATAATGTAATCTGGGCAAGACTGTTATGGAGTAGCCAAACACTTTCTGTTTGGATTTGAGGCGTGCTCCACGAAGGAAATTCATGCCTGGTACTGTAAACCTGGTCAAAAGCCCATGACTCAGGAGGTCAGGTGCCCGGGGAAGGGGGGGCTATTACTGTATTTATTTATCATTTATTGTTGATGGGCGTGCTGTAAAACTGCTTTCTAAATACACTTACACCCATAGATTAGTGCTGCTGTCAGCCCGACGAGACAAGCTTCTCTCTACAGTGGGCAGCGTTAATTCAGAGACTCATAACTGGTCACAGTGCTGGGAATAAGTGATTGTTGAGTGCTCAGCCTTACATGAGATATCTATATCATCAACCCTCCCCCAAGCCTCAGAAAGTATCACAGACGAGGGCACAGAAAGAATGTAAGAGAAAGAGGGAGGAGAGTTGTGAACCGCTGTCTTCTGGGCACTACGGGACCACTGCACTCATGAACTCACAGAGGCTGGGGTCACCTGCAGAACACCAGCACAAAGTCAAGCCAATAAGATCAGTCAACAGCATAAATTAACTCAGTGGGTTACAGAATATAAAAAGGAGGGGACATGCCCTAGCCATCACACACACACACACACACACACTCCCACACACACACACACATATATATATGTGCCCCCCATAAACATACACCATACAAACCACACCTTGAACACACACACACACATCACATCACACTCATGTCTCCCACACACATAGCACACATGTGCCCCACACACACCATACACCACACCCATACACACATACACACATATACACATACCACACACATACCCCACACATACACCCCCACACACAGACACAAACCATATACCACATACACCACACATACCACATATGCAGCCCCATACACAGACACACACATACATCACACACACATACATATATACACCATACAACCCCACACACGTAAAGAACATTCATTGACATGTAACCATGGACCATCATGCAAGCTTCAAAAGCAGGGGAAATGGAGCACATGCTTCATCATCCTTTACATACCTGAGCATAAACACATACACACATTCACAGCATAGGGAAAGACTGGACTGCAATGGGCCATATGTCAGCAGAGGCTATCCCTAGTCGGTAGCTTTTTTCCTTTGAGCTTTGCCGTCATGGGAATAATTTGCATAAGCATCTACGGGGAACTGTTCACTTTTTTACAGTATTATTGATCATATCATTTTCTCTTTCATCTTTGGCCCTCACCACCAAGCAGCTTTCTTCTGTTAAATTCATGGACAATCTG